CTCCTGGCTATTTTTTTTTTTCGGTTGCAGCCATCATTGTTGTTTGGCGGGCCTGGCTGGATTCGAACCCGCCACCTTAGGTGTATGTGGCTGGCGCCTTAGTCACTTGAGCCAGAGGCGCCGAGCCAATTCTTAGTTTTTGTAATTAAAAAGTAACAGAATATTATACAGTTGTGTGAAAGGAGTTATGTTTATCAATATGAAAAATATAATGTATAAAATTTAAATTATAGAAAAGCTGCAGATCATTGTTGTATAGTGTGATTCATATTTTTAAAACAAATATATGTATGTACTTCTATATTTATAGTCTCAGCTGGGCTCAGTGGCTCATGCCTGTAATCCCAGTACTCTGAGAGGCCAAGTTGAGTAAATTGCTTGAGCTCACAGGTTCAAGACCAGCCTGAGCCAGAGCAAGACCCTCTCTCGAACCTGTGATCCTGTGGAGCTCCTGTGAGCTCAGGCAATCCACCCACCTCGGCCCGCGCTGGGATTACAGGTGTGAGCCTCTGTGCCGAGCCCTGCTTTTCTTTCCAAGTAGTGGGAAATGAGAAAAAAGGGAAGAAAATTATCCTGCCTCTTCTTTTTCCTTGCTTTAAACTCCAGATTTGTCTTTTTGAATAGGCAATTGCAGAATCTTGAAAACTTAAGCCAGAATAATTTATGTCATGTTCCAGTTAGTTGTCTTCTAAAGATAGCTCCTAGAAATAATAATGTACTTTTTTTAGTACCCTAGTTGCTAGTAGAACATGGAAGATAAAACAGGTTAAGGGATTTTTGAGTACATTCTCTTTTATAGAACATAAACAGTGATATAGTAACTTGTAGGAGATTGGAAACAAAAGTTTCAGGCTGCAAGGGAGTATTGAAGTTGTTACAATGTAGCAAGACTCTCCCTGGATGAAGTTGTTAGAATGTAGCACTTTTATAAAGTGCCATAATTGATATTCCAGTAAGAAAGTGACCTACCTTCCTTAAAGAATGTGTTCTGGGTAACTGTATAGTTTCAGTATTCCCAATTCTCTTTATTTCCTCAAACAAGAGGAAATACATTCATTGGAAGACCTTCCTTCTTAAGGAAATGTGATCAAAGCTGAATATAAATAGCTTTATTAAAATCTTTAGTTTTATTTTTGTTTATTTTTTCTTTCCTACCCCCAAAATATGTAAAAAAATCTTTAGTTTTTAGCTGGATAGGGTGCACGTTTAGTTCCAGCTACTCCGGAGGCTGAGAGTTGAGGCAGGAAGATTGCATGCGCCCAGGGGTTTGAGACTGCAGTGACCTATGATAATGCTATTGCATTCCAACCTCGGCAACAGAGTGAGCTCAGTCTCTAAAGAAAATCCTTAGTTGTTGGCAAGCTAAATTATTGCCAGGGTGAAAGTTATTGTTTGTGTTCTAGACAGCAGCTCAGGAAGCCATCCTGCATGCGTCTGGAAATGGCACACCTTTACCATCTAAGGACTACTGCATGCTGTATAACCCTCATTGGACAGCTCTTCCAAGTACGCTGGACAATGCAGTAAGTAAATCACAGTCACTATTCATAAACATAAAAATATTGAAGAAGTAAGAGTGAGTGATACTTATGTTTTAGTATGTGAAATAGTTGTGTTGGTGATTAATAATTAATTATTTTATAGGTTTTTCTCAAGTATTTTTCTCTCTGAGAAAATAAGTTAGAGAATTTTAAAGTTCTTAGTTTAAGCCTGATGTTGTCATAAAATATTTCTAATTTTTTTCTTTATTCATTGAAGTATTTCTAATTTTAAAGAACATTGTGTTAAACCAACATTGATATCTTATAAATGAAAGCATGTAGGGTGAATTATGATGTCATGTTACAGGCATTTCTTCCTTTCAGACTTCTATTAGTTTGATGAATCTGACCTCCACACCACTATGCAACCTTTCTGATATTCCTCCTGGTGGTATGAATAACAAAGCAGTTGTGGTACACTGGGGAACATGCCATTTTCTTGAAAAAGCCAGAATTGCACAGAAAGGAGGTGCTGAAGCATTGTTGGTTGTCAATAACACTGTCCTAGTAAGTTACAAAACTATCATAATGTCTTTTGAACTTGTGACATCAGATTTCAGGAATTGAAATAACTTCATTGTTTGTGGTTTAGAGGCTATGTTTTGAATAATCTGTTGTAACTAAACTTTCAATATCTGATAGGCATTTAATTGGAAAGTTTTTCTTCTACTCCTAGAGTAGACAAGACTTTGTTAGGAACAAATATTTATATCTGTGTGTATGTGTATGGTATATGTATATTACATATACATTATATGATATGTATTATATATTAGTTTAAGTTCCATTTCCATTTTGTGAACTTATATAATGGATAATATGTATAAATATAAATATATTTATCCAATATAAATAATGGATAAACTTATATAATGGAAAGAATACCTGAAACTTTATTTTATAAAGAAAAAATATTATATGGTATGTATTATATATCAGTTTAAGTTCTATTTCCATTTTGAGAACTTATATATGTTAAGAAAGAATACCTGAAACTTCATGTTATAAAGAAAGATGTAATATTTATATTTAATGGAATATTTTGCATTTTATTCTCTAAATATATTAGTAGTTACTGTTTTCATAATACATTGTTTTCTTTTAGTTTCCTCCTTCGGGGAACAGATCTGAATTTCATGATGTGAAAATATTGATTGCATTTATAAGCCATAAAGACTTTAAAGATATGAAGCAGGTAAATTACTAATTATACATTAGATGAAGTTTATAAATAGTACAGCTCTTTACTTTAACCACTGATATTTAATTTTGAGTATTAAATATGCTTCTTTGTTTTTTTTTTTGAGACAGAGCCTCAAGCTATCCCCCTGGGTAGAGGGCCATGGCCTTACAGCTCACAGCAACCTCCAACTCCTGGGCTCAAGCAAGTCTCCTGCCTCCGCCTCCCAAGTAACTGGGACCACAGGCGCCCGCCACAACACCTGGCCATTTTTTGGTTGCAGCCGTCATTGTTGTTTGGCGGGCCGGGCTGGATTCGAACCCCCCACCTTAGGTGTATGTGGCTGGCGCCTTAGCCACTTGAGCCACAGGCGCCGAGCCAATATGCTTCTTTGTTAACAAGAAGTTATAAAGACTGATCAAGTTTTTATCAGGAGCCCAGGTGTGATGGTTCAGGCCTATAATCCTAGCACTCTGAGAGGCTGAAGTAGATGGATTGCTTGAGCAAGAATGAGACCTAGTTGCAAAAAAAACTAGCTGGGTGGTATCTCAGGCACCTGTAATCCCAGCTACTTGGAAGGCTAAGGCAAGAATATTGCTTGAGACCAAGAGTTTGAGGTTGCTGTGAGCTACGACACCATGCACTCTACTAGGGTGACAAAGTGAGACTGTCTCCCAAAAAAAAAAAAAAGTTTTTATTAGGAAAGTATCTCTCATTTGGCATGAAATATCTCAAAGCCTAAACCTTAGAAAGGATGGTTATTTGTTTTGAGTTCTTTGAAAATCTCTTGTGTTGGCTCAGCACCTGTTGTTCAGTGATTAGGGCACCAGTGGGGCTGGTGGGTTCGACCCTAGCCTGGGCCTGCTAATTAACAATGACAACTGCAACAACAACAAAAAACTAGCCAGGCATTATGGCAGGCACCTATAATCGCAGCTCCTTGGGAGGCTGAGGCAAGAGAATCGCTTAAGCCTAAGAGTTTGAGGTTGCTGTGAGCTGTGATGTCATGGTACTCTATCAAGGGCAACATAATGAGACTCTGTCTCAAAAAAAAAAAAAAGAAAAAAGAAAATTTCTTATGTCATGTCTTGACTTTAAATCCCTAAATGAGGCTGGACACCATAGCTTACACCTATAATCCTAGCACTCTGGAAGGTGGAGGCAGGTGGATTGCCTGAGCTCCCAGGTTCAAAACCAATCTGAGCCAGAGCGAAACCTCATTTCTAAAAAATAGCTGGGCGTTGTGGTGGGTGCCTATAGTCCAGCTACTTGAGAGGCTGATGCAAGAGAATCATTTGAGCCCAAGAGTTTGAGGTTACAGTTAGCTGTGACACTAAGGCACTCTACCTGGGGTGACAAAGTGTGACTCTGTCTCAAAAAAAAAATCCCTAAACAAAATGTGATTATGTAGAATACTGCACTTTCAGGATTTTACAAACCAAAGCATATCCTCATACTTTTGACTAGAGAATGTATCATGTGTTCAAATAGTAGTTCTAGTCTTCTTGACTGTCTGATGTATAGTGTCCATTCCAGAGTGAAATGTGAACTGTTGTTGCCATACTCAGTAGCAGAAGGCAAAGTTATTCCTGTGTTTAACTGTTATATTGCTTTTCAGACTCTTGGAAGTAATATTACCGTGAAAATGTATTCTCCCCCATGGCCTAACTTTGATTATACAATGGTGGTTATTTTTGCAATTGCTGTATTTACTGTGGCATTAGGTGGATATTGGAGTGGACAAATTGAATTGTAAGTTTCATTAAACTTTAGTTTTTTTGTGATAAATGGGTGAAAAATTACTGTTTTGTAGTCATTTTAATTATGTAACAACATTTAAACATTTTACCTGTCCTCAGAACTTGGTGCCAATAAGCCCAGATTTCAAGTTCATCCTTATATTAGTCATTTAACTGCACCAAAAAGGAAAGAGTCATAGGTTCCTTTAACTCTTCTTCTGGCAAGGAAACAGTGAGGTCACATTAAAGACTCTTTTGGGTTAAATTGTTTAACCCAAAAGGAAAGGTCAAAATACTTACTATCCTAACATGCCTATTTATTTAAATTGGAAGAAAGGAAGCAAGACAAGGTACAGAGTTTTTAGGATTGGGTCTTTACTGTGTGGCATCATCATTCTGTTTAATGCTTTCCAGGGACATCCAGCCTTTTTTCTTCTCTATAGCAAATTGGAAGAATAGTTGCATTGGGCCACACATTAAATACACAAACATTAACAAAAAAGCTGATGAGCAAATGAAAAGGTCTGCATGCTTTTCAAGATATCAAATACCACAGATAAGCAAAACAGTCCGCAAACAGTCAGCGTGCAGCCTGCAGGCCATAGATTGGATACCCCTGAGTCACTCTAAGGATATTACGCATATCTGCATTTTTTTGTTGTTGTTGTTGAGACAGAGTCTCACTATATCGCCCTTGGTAGCGTGCCATGGCATCACAGCTCACAACAATCTCCAACTCCAAAATCTCCAAACGATTTTCTTGCCTCAGCCTCTCAGGTAGCTGGGACTACAGGCCCCCGCCACAGTGCCTGCTATTTTGTTGTTGTTGTCTGGGCCGGGTTGTTGTAGCAGGTCTGGGCCGGGTTCGAACTCACCAGCCCCAGTGTATGTGGCCAGCACCCTAACCACTGAGCTATGGGTGCCAAGCCAAGTTCAGATTTTCTATTTAATAGCAACTTGAACCCAGTCTCCCTATAGTTTTGTACTTTTGGCTCTGAATTAAAACAGACAATATAGTGGCCGAGCATGGTCTCTTGCCTGTAATCCTAGCACTCTGAGAGACCGAGGTGGGTGGATTGCTTAAGCTCACGAGTTCAAGAGCAGCCTGAGCTCTTAAGAGCAAGACCCCATTTCTAAAAAATAACTGGGCATTGTGGCGGGCACCTGTAGTCCCAGCTACTCGGGAGGCTGAGGCAAGAGAATAGCTTAAGCCCAAGAGCTGGAGGTTGGTGTGAGCTGTGACACCACTGCACTCCACCAAGGGCGACAAAGTGAGACTCTGTCTTTATTTAAAAAAAAAAAAAAAAGTCATCTGTTTCAACAATTTTGCCCTTCGAAAAAAGTGCTATTTTAAAAGTTAGTGGGTAAAAATAGATACTCTCTGGAGGGTAGAGTTATCGGGAGGGGTTACTTTCAACATTTTTTTTTTTTAGTGTGCAATTTTTTTAAAGTACAATACTTTTTAAATGAAAAAAATTAAATTGGTGTTAGAGGTAAAATTTTAAAGTAACTGCTTGGCTGCGATTTGCTGAAGTTCCTATGTATGTCTATCCAGGGAAAACTTGCAGGCAGCCGCAAACATTGATGAGAGAGAAATGAAGAAAAAGAAGGAAGAATATTTAACTTTTGGTCCTCTTACAGTTGTAGTATTTGTGGTCGTCTGCTGTATTATGATAGTGTTACTTTATTTCTTCTACAAATGGTTGGGTAAGAGCTCGCATTTTATGTTTACTACTTTTAGCATGCCTTCTTTTCATTTACTTTATCAGATCTGTCTTTCCCTTTAAAAGCATTCTACCTGGAAAACTCAAGGGAACAACTTAGTTATCATTAACTTTTTTTAATTGTCAGAAGTGTTATGTCTCTATTGCTAGTAGATTAAAAAAAAAGTACATGTTAAAAATATACTGTGTTTTGAGATAAGAACATTTAAGAACATGGATGTCTTGAAAGACTCACTGTGGTCCCTAAGTTTCCCTCTCTGCCGATAAACAACAGTAGCTCAGGATCTAAGCAGTGAATGAAGGCGTTCTTGGTGGCCATATTTAGTTACATGAAATAGAATATTACTCAAATTACTGATTTATTGCCTCTGTTTACCCCCAAAATGTAGTTTATCCTTTTGTTAATTTGCAAATCAACATGATTGTTGATTGCCTGAATTTTGTTTTATTGTACAAGCAGTTCGGACCATTTTGTATTTGAAGACACACAGATACCTGCCCATGGTCTAGAGAATAACTGACACTATTTTTTCCTTTAAGAAAGAAAGCGTAGGAACTGTAATGGCTTGCCCTTCCCCTGGACAGTCTTAATGGTCTGTCAGGAGAGTAATTTGCCATCCCTGGCCAATACACAGCACTAAGAGGAGAGAGCCCAGGGAAAAGTAGAATGTGCTTGATAAGAACTAGCAAATTCCTGGCTCGGCGCCTATAGCTCAACCTGCTAAGGCGCCAGCCACGTACACCTAAGGTGGCGGGTTCGAATCCCCAGCCCGGACCCGCCAAACAACAATGACG